GTAAGTCCGGACATGCGACTCCATAGGCAAGAAGCCCCAATCCAGGCCGAGTGGTTCCTTGCACAAGCAGGAAGCTTCCCGGATGCAAAAAGTCAGTTGCCGAGGGCAACAACTCCAAGCAAGAAAGGCCGTAGACGAAAAGAGAGGCAGCCTTGGAGGAGGATCGAGCAGGCGATGCCATCCCTGAGCGTGCATAGCACGGAATCAACGATGAGAAGTCCAAGCAAGTCATCCCATAAGCAGGCAGGCAAAGGCCAAAGTAAGAAGAGCTGTGAGGCAGCAACACCGAGCCGCATGATGCAAAGGCCATAACCAACAAGGAAGAATCGAGCCAGACTATGCCGTACACCAATGAAGGCGAGCCTGGCCACACCAAGGAGCGCAAGGACACCGGGCTGCCAAGGGTCAGGGGATCCAGGGCCGACAAAGTCAAACCCGACTGAGCCAAACCGTAGGCAAGCATCGAAAGTCCCAGCCGCGCTAAAGCCCTCGCCGACGTTGAAGGTCCCGGGCTTGCAAAGTCCAGCGCGGGCAAGGAGAAGGCCGATCAAGCTAAGCCGGAGGCTGATGTTGGCAAGCCCGTGCACACAAAACTCCCGGAAGATGAGGAGCTACCCAGGGCCGCGGAATCCGGCACGGGCAACAGGAAGCCCAGTGTCTGGCAGCCGTACGAAAGCAAGGCGAGACCCGACTTGACAGAGCCGTGCGACGACAAAAGGGGGCCTAAATGTGCGGAGTCCAGCATTGGCGCCGGCAAGGCCGTGCACAACAAGCCACAAGCCGACAACGCCAGGCCGGGCCGCGCGAAGCCCGTCAAGAGTAGCCCACTGCCGAAGTCCACGTAGTCATAGACACTCGTCGCAGAACCTGGGCAAGCTATGCCGAAGGCAGACATAAGCGCTCCAAGACGCGAGAAGCCATGGACCGGCGACAGCAGGCCGATGTTCACAAAGTCCGATGTAGACAGACTGGATTCCAGTCGTGTAACCCCATAAACTAACGAGTCTGCATCCGGCCGGGCGAGGCCCCGCAGAGACGTGGCAAAATCGATCATTGCAGGGCTCAGCGCAAGTGGCGATGAGCCAATTCGGGTCATTCCGTATGTCAACGAGAGAGGACCTGAGCATGCAGAACTCATTAGAAGCAAAAGAGAGCCCATCGATGCAAAGTCCAGCAGCAAAAGTGCCAAGTCCAAGCGGGTTAGCCCGTATGCCGACAGGAGAGGCTCTGTGCATGCAAGAGTGTGCGATGAAAGGGTGGGGCCAGTGTTGGCACGATTAAGCATCGACAGCAGGAGTTCCAAGCGACTGACTCCGTAAGCGGACGTGCTAGGTCCCAGCTTGACGAAGCCCCGCAGAAACAACAGCGGCCCAAGATGCAAAGAGTCCAGGGCGGACGTCAGCAAGCCTAGCCTTGTCATGCCATATGATGCTAAAGCAACACCCGGATATGCCAAGCTTCGAGGCAGTGCGGTAGAGCCAGCTTGCATGAGATCTGAAGCTGACATGAAGAAACCTAACCGTGCAAGAGAGTAAACTGAGGCTGAGTGGCCAAGGCGCCCGAGACGTTGAGGGAACATGGCTGGGCCCACGTTGATGGGGTCCAGGACTAGCGAAGCCAGGCCTGAACGAGTGGTCCCATAGAGAGGCACCGGCAACCCGGATCTGGCGTAGCTTCGCAGGGGCAGAAGCGGCCCCAGATGAATTATGTCCAAAGTCAAGGGAGAGCTCTCCAAATTCGAGAGGCCGTACGCGGAAACCGTGCTGTCAGGACGCGTGAAGCCCTGGAGTGAGATGGGCGACTCGAAATGGCTAAGGTCTGGTGCCAACAGGCAAAATCCCAATCAACTCATTCCATAGGCCAAAGGAGAGCTGCCGCAGCGCATAAGCGTCCGAGGCAAGGATGAGCTTCCCAGGTCTGCGAGGTCTAAAGCCGGAAGCGGCGATTCCAGTCAACCTTAGTATCTAAGCTCATGTGGGAGTTTCAGAAAATTCGGGTACCCTATTTCGGGGTCCTGATAATAAGGATCCTACTATTTTGGGTACTATACTAGGGTCCCCTATTTTCGGAAACCCCCATGTCGCACAAAAGAGCGCCATCCTTAACAGTACTTCGGCCATGCGCACGTGGACAGCCAGTGAGCAAAGGTGTGCTAATCTAAGACCTGCGGCCACGATGCTAATCCCATAGGTCAGTGGCGCAGCCTCTGACCGACCGGAACTCCGCGTGGCCATGGATGGCCCGGAGTGGCTAAAGCTCAAGGCGGACGAAGGCGAGTCAGGGCCTTGGCGAGGTACCCGAAAACTGGCTTCAAGAATGTGGCTTTCAACTGCTTCCTTGCGAAGGCCACTGCAAACAACAGCTGCTTCAGCATGGAACTGGAGCTCAAGAAAAAAGTTCATCGCAGTCCGCATGCAGAACGACGTGTCCGTGAATGAAGATAGGAGAGTCTAAACCATCGGGCTCGAGTTATGCGCCAACTGCTACACCAAACCACGAGTTTGACACAACCCGCCCAGTCCTCACAAGTTTATGCAGCACACTCGCCCAAACGTGACGAGTGGCAGGTGCATGCCATCATGCAAAGCTGTCAGAAGATAACTGAACCCCAAACCCACCTAAACGCCAACCCGTCAGCCCCTAAGCCTCTAGGAAGCCACACCCCAAGCCGTAAACTCCTGCTCGGCTGCCTCTGAGCTCCCCGACGGGCCATCTCCGTCTGCGGCACCGAGCTTCCGGGCCGCGTGAAGCTGGCCACAGCCAGGGAGCTCCCCAAGGAGGTGAAGTCCTGCGTCTGCCGAGGCTTCCCAAAAGGGCCCACTCGGGGTTTGTCATCTCAGGGCTTAGGAAGGACCGTATCTCTGCCTAAAAGACTGTGCTCACAGTTTGGACAGGTAGAGCAAAAGGTTCGAGCCGATCAACGGGGAGCTGGAGTAAGCCGAGAAAGACCGCAGCAGAACAGCGCCCGTTACTTCCTGCAATGGCACGTCTGAAGCCTTGGGCCTCTAAGCACGTTGCTTGAACCACAGGCTGGGACTGCAAGGAGGTTAGCCCGCAGCGGAGAGCAGTCGTCTTCCGATTAGGTGCTGGTGTCAGTCCCTGATGACCAGCGTGTTGTCTAATTGCACCACGCCGTAGACGAGCAGCGGGGATCCTTTCGCATGCTTCAACATCTGCACCCCCGGTCCCGACTCAAGACTCAAGTTGGTGCAAACTGGCAAGCAGTAGCAATGTATGACATCAGTGGAGCTTTAAGCCATCGCCTCGGCCCTGTGCAATGAGTAGACAGCAAAGGAAAACAAGCACAAACAACCAAAACAAAGAGCGACCCGGGCCTAAATGCGTGAAGGACGTCACAGGGAGTGAGTCCCCGAACTGAATTTTGTTGAGCAGGGAGAACCCATGACCTGAGCGAAGAAGGGCTTTCATGGCTTAGAGATCTTTCCATGCACAGATCCTCAGGGGCAAGGCCATACAGCACGGTGTCACCAAAAATCTCCATGGAGCTGCCGAAGGTGACCTGCAAAGGTCGGTGCATTCCTACAAGTGCTGGCTAACCAGAAGCTTCACCATTGTTGCTACGAGCACACTGCCACCCCGAGATGCCAAGCAAGACCTCTTAGCTAAGACTCACGCGCTAGGTTTGTGTTGCATCTTCCCAGTACTGCAGATTAAGAATTGTGACAAGCATGATGAAGGCAGATTCCACAGTGACTAAGCTAAAACCCTCAAACCCTAAACCCTGCACCTAAAGCCTGAGGCTGCTGCCCTGTCCAGAATGGACAAAGTGGACCCGAAGATGGCATGTCCTCCCACCCGGAGCGTGCGACCTCGCTTCGGCTTGGGCGGTTCAGAGCTTTGACAAGGGCTTTCAGACTTTGGGGCTTTAGGTCGTTGAGGCTTTAGGGCTTTAAGTCTTTCACCTCTGAGGGCTCAGAGTTGAGTGCTTGGGTTTCTTGTTAAAGCCTTTTTCTAATCCATTGGACCCTGCTGCCCTCAACTGACATGCTCTCGTTAATCAGAGTGGTCTAGCGCGTGGGAGAACAAGGGGAAGGTGCTTGCGGCTTCGGTTCGACAACAGTGCTTGCAACCAACAGCGTTCCGTTCATCTTGCAGGCCTGGATAAGACATGATACCCATGCACATGGATGCAGAGTCAACTCCGGACATGTTGCGGAACCCAGCCGTGCACGCTGGGGACGCGACCTAATTGTGCATCACTGTACCTCGGGACAGATTCGGGACAATGCTCACAACTTCACATAACATGTACCGAGCCCTGAGGTGTAACCTAGCCTCGGCTCAAGCTAAGCAGATGCTAGCTTCAATCCACATTGAATAAGGCACGTGTGACGACATCAGAAGTACGGACCACCCCGATATGCTGCTGCTGAGATCGCCACACCGACAATGTGCCGCCAAGGTGGGCGGCATCGAATGCCGAGACCGTGCTATTCATTACCACCTCAGTGCTGGTGCCAGCTCACTGGGTCGTGCGGGCTGTAGCCACCCTTTGGTCCACCTCTGAATTTCTACCTGCCGGCTTCTTTGCAGCCCTCATGATGCTGCACCCGATCCCAGCACATGATTCTACACCGTGCGAAGGCCCACGAGCTTGGGAAATCCCATGGCCGGATGCTTACGTGATAGCCACTAGCGAGAGCTACAGTACTAGCAATCTTGATCTCTCACTGGGCGAAGGAAAGGTTAGACTGGCGCAGACGAGGCATGGTATTTCTTATTAATTATATCTTATTCGCATGATACCTTCCGAGTAAGTTCTGTCTTCGCAAAAACCTCTGTGGAGGAAGGGCATGGCGGTATGCAGGGCTGCAAGGTTTCCGACTTTCGGGGGTGATGTCATACTAGCAGTTGTGGCATCCACAAGAAGGGCCGTATAACGAGAATGCTGCTTGCGCTCCTGGACAGACCGATGCCAATCCAGAACGAAACCAGCCGCATTCATGACATTCCATGACGTTTCATGACGCTGATCGATCTTAGCTCCTGGCCGAGTCGAACACAGACAGGGAGCCACCCAGGTTTACCTATGCGCGGAAAGCATCACCAACAGCGCCAGCGCCACGAAGGTGGACAACCTGCCTGTAACATGACGGAGAGCGTCGTGTTGAGGTAGGCCTGGTCGTCTTGCGAGAGCCTGAGCGAAGGCGTCTTGGAGGGAACGACATGGAACGACGTCGGCTCATTTGCGTCACGACGGTCTTCAGGATACTTTCGGATTGTGTTGGTAGGGATCCTGCGCGAAGGCTCCGCCGAATGGCGACTGCAAGACGAGGTCATCACGTGCATAATTATCCTGCGAGGACGCTCGATGGCTGGCAAGGACCGACAAATCAGCCTCACGACACTTCAAAGCCCATGGCCTTCACCACGAAGTCCCACAGACTTGAGCCTGACCTGAAAAAGGGGCTGTCAATGCTGAGAGGGCCCTTTGCAAACTGTGTGCCAACGCTTTTCTGGTAGGCGTCCGACTGCTTCAGCGAGAGTCGCGAATTAACTGTATAAGAAGGATCGATGTCTAGAGCACCCAGCAGCTGGATGTCTCCTGTGGGCAACAACAGGACTCTGTGCAGGTGGAACTACCCAGGCTGCTAGGTATGTTCAAACCGATGATGACATCACCCTGAAACAGAAGAGACGCCGGAGTCCTGTGGCATTCACCTTGGCGCTCGAGGCTTCCGCGAGAACCGTGCAATCACACCAAAAGACGGCAAACCCCAGGCCATCCCAAGTGCACACCGGTGAAAGCCAAGTCACCAAAAGCCATGATGCAGCTCTGGGTAGCAGAGCACACAAACAGGCCTCGGAAGGAAGACATGTCATCTCAGATTCATCTCGTCAGAGTCCTACAGCTCCAATTCACCAAGCGCCCGCACCAGGAGAAGCATCCAGGGATAGCGCATTTTATGTGCCTGGCTGTGGCGACGTCACGTCTATGACCAGACATGTGTCCAAGCTTGAGGACCGAAGTGACAAGCACGGCAGCGGCGCCGCCGCACAGGGCACTGCCCTACCTCCCCCTGCTGAGTCTCACCATGCTCCCTGCTGGTTTCTCGGGCCCAAAGGCGTCAGGAAAGAACTGTCTACTGCTGCTGCCTTCAGCTACCGGATTCCGGAGGTTCACAGCGAGCCTATCAGCCCGGAGCCCTGCGAGCCCTCCCAGTCCGTGGCTTTTGGGATCCGAATTCTGTTCAGCGGCGGCCGACATGAAGGCATTGAGTTACTGGTAGATTCTCGGAATCTCAGGCTCTGGTCGCTATGGCTCCCGCGGCCGTCACAGCCGCTCCTCTTCGCATGAGTCTATGAAGTCCACGCCAAGACCAGGCGTAGTGCAAGTGCGTTCTCTGGAGGAGGAGCAGCTGCGACTGACGTGTTCTCCTACATCCGGACTCCCTTTCGGGAAGGTATGATCGCCACCGATTGAAG